GTCTGTATCCTACTCCCTTGTTTCTACCACTTTATCCTGCTTCTTTGCGTGGACTGTGATGGTCTGTTGTTTCTGAGGCATTGTGGCGTCGTTGTATTAGATTTCTGTTAACTGTGAAGAGCTGTCAAGGGTGATTCATGGTCTTCTGGTGGTTTTTTATCGTTGGCCCATTGGTGAAGAAGGAAGTAGTGGCTCTCGCTCAGTAAGCGAAGTTGCAGGAGGTTTGGGTGTAGTTGTGTCTCATGGGGACTGTTGCTGTCTCCCAGTCAGTTAGACACAAATTACAACTGAATAATCATCAAAAAACTAAAAGCACATGGGAAAAATCACACCATGTAATAACAAAGTAACACTAACCAAAAGAAGAAAAAAGGGAAAAAGAAAAAGAAAAAACAAGGAAACCTGCAATATCTGGGGACAGGGCACTAAGAGAAAAAAGGTAGAGAAGGAGAATAATGAAGGAAAAAAAGGGGGAAAAACACAAAAACAAGGAACAGGGTTAACTATGAGAGAAAAGGGTTGGAAAAACAACTTAAATTAAAAAAAAAAAAAATTCAACCAGGAGCAGGGAAAAGAAAAAATGCTGAAAACTACGACCTGGGAGGGGAACAATAAGAGTAATAGTACAAAGGACAAAAGTATTAATGAGAGTTGTTTTAAAACAGACAAATACAAGCAAACTAATCACCAGAAAAATGAAAGCAAAAAAGAATAAAATAAAAATAAAAAAAAGAGAAAAAAAAGTTGTGGAGGACAGAGCAGGGCACCCAGGCTCTGTCTGAGCACACAAACTGTGATGGAGTTCCTGTGGCCCCACAAGGTAGGTGGGAGTTGGGGATGGCTTCATTTCCATTCACCAAGTGGGTGTGGGGTATAAGAGTAACAAGACGAATGTCACACCTTTTCAGTCTTACAGGTCCGGAGTGTCCTTGGGGTTGCTGGCAAGCAGAACGTGTTCCTAAGCCCCAGGAATCTGTGAGAGCACTGTCCCTTTAAATATCCAAAATAGTCAAGGCGCTTTTAAACATTCAAAATAGCAGCACCCTCCAGACTGGCAAAAGTCCACAGCTCAGCCTGCCTTTCTCTTCACCTTCTCCTTTTATTCTCCAGCCACCAGAGCAGTCCTCCGTGCAGTCCCTGGCTAGCAGGGCTGATTTTTAGGTTAATTCTTAGGTCTTACCACCACTCAGGAATCTCCAAGCTGTCTGTGCCGTGCCCTCAGGATCGCTCAGGATCACTGCCAGACTGCAGCTCATCTGTCTCCTTTTTTGGTATTTTCATGCAAATTCTTCTCCTAGTTGGGGTTTAGTTCACTTCTATATCCTCCCATTCAAGGCTCAGGGGTCCAAGATTATCTTCTGTGTCTGTGTTAATTGGTTTCCCTTTTCTTTGTTGAAGAGGGTCTGTGGAGTCTTTTTGCCTAGTCCGCCATCTCACCGGAACTCCCCAGGATGCTGAGTTTCTATTTGTTGAGTTTCTAGCATTACGATAAAGTTTTAGAAATGGATAGTGGTGATGGCTACACAGAATGCTGACTATAATTAATGTTACTGAATTGTACACTCAAAAATGTTAAAATGGCAAATTTTTTTATTATATACATACATACTTTTTATGACAATTATTTTTAAACGATATAATGATAGATTACTTTTACCTATCAAATTAAAAATTATAATAGTTAATGATGATCAAAGTATGATGTGGTCAGCTTCTGAAAAGAAATCTAGCAATAATGGTTCATGGGCCTTTTGAGCTTTATTTCCACTTTTGGATTCTATCATGAGAATGTAATTAAAAATGTGATCAAATATTATTTTCAACTCTCAATAACAATCAAAAAAATTTGAAAACAACCTTAAGGTCCCCACAAAGAGAAATGGTATACGAATGTATCCTTGTACAACATCCCTCACCTATTCAGCATACACATTTACCTATGTATCTACTCATAAATCACTCTTTGTTATTACTGTTGTTGCACGATCATATATGTTATAGCATTTATCACTGTTGAACTTTACTCTTGCATATCTGTCAATGTTCGCTTTGTCTTGGTCATGCTGGGCTAATTTCCTCCATATTGTGCATGGCTTTTTCCATTACCAGAATTAATACTCGTGCACTATCTATCTAGCAGGTCTGGTGGCACAGTACCTAAGTCATGTGACTGCTAACCAGAAGGCTGAAGGTTTAAACCCACCAGGCACTCCTCAGAAGGAAGACTGGGCAATCTACCTCTGAAGTGATATTGCCTCACACACCCAAGGAGGGGACATTATGAGTTGGAACCGACTCCACAGCAGTGATTTTTTTTTTTTTTTTTGGTCTATATATCTACTTAGTGATTCTCCTTCTCTCCCACTCTCATCCCTGGCAACAATCAAAGAATGTTTCTTTCTGGATATAAACCTATTCCTGACTTTTTAAATATAATAGTAGTCTCATACAATATTTATTCTTTTGTGATTGATTTATTTCACTCAGCATAATGTCCTCCAGATTCATCCATGTAAGATGTTTCATGGATTCATCATTATCCTTTGATGTTGCATAGATTTTCATTATATATATGGGTGTTATTATATGCATTCATCTGTTGATGGGCACTTAAGCTGTCTCCATATTTTTGCTGTTGTAAATAGTGCTACAATGAACAAAGTGTTCATATGTCTATTTATGTCACCACTCTTAATTCTCTAGGATATATGCCTAGAAGTAGGATTGCTGTACTGTATGATATTTAAACTTCTAGCTTTTCAAGGAAACATCACCATTTTCCATAGTGGTTTACCATTTGCAGTCCCATCAGAAGTATATAAGATTTCCCATCTCTCCACAGCCTTGCCAACATTTGTTGACCTCTGTTTTTTTGATCAGTGTCATTAATGATCGGGTGAGATGGTATCTCACTGTAGTTTTGATTTATATCTTTCTATGGCCCTTAAGTCTTAAGTCACAACATTTCTCATCAGGATGATTAATCTTTACGAAAAGGCAGGAAAGCAAGAAAGCCACCCACTCTGACATTTTCATTCTTTGGAAAAAAAAAAAAAAGCCACTTTAGTTCATGAACTAGAACCAGCATTTGTTTAAAAAAAAAAAAAAAAACTATGAAATTCATGAAGAGTACACTTTGATTCTAAGATTAACAAGATCATTATCTTATTTTTTGCATTGAAAAAAATGTACTGACATTAAAAAGTAGTTCAGCCATAGTTTTACTTAGAAATCTGATAAACTGTGACCCAAGAATCAGACAACCTATAATATGAAGGTTATTTTATTTTTCCCTTTTCTTTTTGCTTAAAAAAAAAAAAAAAAACAGAAACAATAAACTATAACAAATTAAAAAAAAAAGGATTCATTTTTGGTCAACCTTGCTTTTCCTAGGAGCTTTGGTGGCGTAGTGCCTAAGGCATACGATTACTAACCAGAAGACTGGCGGTTCAAACCCACCAGCCACTCCTCGGAAGGAAGGTTGGGCAATCTACTTCCGTAGTAATACTGCCTTGGAAACCCAAGGAAGGGTCGCTATGAGTCGGATCTGACTCGACAGCAGTGAGTTTAGTTTTTAGATTTTTGCTATTCCCGTGGGTTGGAGAGTAGAGAGCACATGTTTTTCAGGTAGGATATGAAGGATACTGTAGCTATTGTACGTGAGGTGTATGTGTTTATGTGTGTGTATATGTGCACAAGAAGTAAAGCAAAGACATTACCATGGTCATATAGAATGGCAGAGAAGAAGGATAAGCATGAATAAGCTGGTAAATTGAAGAGGTTTTCTGCAGGCTCCCCATGTTTGCTACTGGCTGTATCTAAAAGCTTTAACCAAAAAGGAGTCATATCAGATGATTCTTACAGACTTGGGTTTGATGCCTTTCTTTCCTTATTTTCCTCTCACTTTTGAACAGCTTAGATGGAGAATAACACAAGCTCTAACCTTGAGCAACACTTGCTCCAGAGATGAGAATATTAAATTAGTGATTGAAGGTGAGTTATGAGAAGGAAATGAGTCATTCAAAAGACAGAGTGAAGTGAAGTGAAGTTGGGGAAGAATGTAGGGGTGGGGAGGGGGTACTTAGTAGAGGCACAACTACAGAAAAGCAAAAGGAGAATGTGGAGAAAAAAGTTTGGAAACTAAGTTGGTGAAACAACTGACTTGTCCATTAAACATTAATTTATTTACCTGTGTTATTTTCTCTATTCCCTGGAAACTGTGCTTTTCAAACTGTTCTGTTATATTTAAAAAGGTGTGACGTTCTAGATAGCAGCAATTACTTAGGACAATCAAAAGCCGCTGTTCCTAAAAGCAAAACAAATATTTAGAAAAATTACATTTATAACAACAAATTGAGAGTAAAACAAACATTTATCACTTATTGAGTTTAATTATAATCTCTTGATATTCAGTATCAATATTCAAAGTTTTATGTTCTTGTCTGATTCTTTTCCAACAGTAACGAAGGGAGAAACATAATAAAATTGTCCAATTCTTCTAATTACCCATTTTACACATTTTACCAAAGGATCAGATAATGGTCCCTTTGAAATCTGACAGCTGTATAGAAAAACCGTTAACCAGTAAAGTAGGACATCTGTTCTGATGAAAGGAGTTCTAATTAATACTTTGTCCAAATAAAAAGTTTACATACATGGATAGTTATTTTTAAATAATTAATTACATGGAAAATGTAGAACTACTATAAAATAATTTATAATTTTTTCATTATTTGGATATGATCACCAAAAACCAAACTAATTCTGACTCATAACAACCGTACAGGACAGAGTAGAACTGCCCCATCTATCATCTTTATGGAAGCAGATTACCACATCTTCCTCCCCTGGAGCAGCTGGTGAGTTCAAACTGCCAACCTTTTGTTTAGCAGCCAAACATTTAGTCACAGAACCACCAGAGCTCCTCATTTATATGGTGGTCTCCTTCAAATGACTTAGGTCTTTAAAGATTTTTTTTTTCTAATGTGTACAGAGAAGGAATAAGAATAGTCTCCCTTTTATGGAGAGTAAAACAACATCTCTCACCTATTTACACCTAGAGTAAAGGAGTTGGAGAGGACAAGTGATTGCTGCAACAGCAAAGTATTATTGTCAGTTACACAGAAGGATTAGAAGCCAATTTTCTCCTATATTTGCTTGTGTTCTAGCCACTTAAAAGGACTTCTTATCAAAATTACCAGACCCAAATGCTGAGGAATACAGTATCCTTTTACAGTTCAGAAGAAATATTTTTGTAAATAAAATTCTAAGAATGCAGTTTGGGACATCTATTGAGATTCACCTATGTGTTCTAAAGTTTGGCAGCATTCTCTAGAATCATGACTAATTTAGTGACTTGGTTTAACATCCCTTGACTAAAAACAAAGGCAAAAACAACTTTCCAGGAAAAGTTCTCATTCACGTCTTGCTTACTGTTTTTGTATATAATCATTAAAACTAATTTTGAACATACATATCACCCAATAATTTAGCTCAAGCTAATTTTTAAAAATTTACTTAAAATGTTCCTATCTTTATTTCTGGCAGAGTGTAGCCTATATACAGTATCTTTTTTGGTTATCAACTAAAAGGCTGAGGAATTATTAAGGTACCTCAAATAAATGAAAGGTCATTAATGGCCCTGAATTAATCTATAGATGTGAAAGTGGCATGTTATACATAGCATAGCCCTATGTACCATGTCTTATGAAAACTTATTTTAAGAGCTAAGAAGAAAGCAAGAAAGCAGCATTGGAAATGTGCAGGTCAAACTGGGCCAGAAGATTGTCATATTCTCTCCTGCCCTCAAGCCTGGTATAACCATCGCATGGTATTTGTGCAGCTCATGTAATAAACTAAGATAGCATTGCATCAGAAATTGCAAACACACTATGCTCCTGAAAATCTCAACTAGTTTCTCAAAGTAATATCAATTCTTCATTACCTTTTGTTAACACTCATCTCTTGAATATTACCCTTTCAGCAGTACACCTGAAACAAGCTGCTTTTTCTCTGCCCTGAAAATGAACTCTTTTGGGTTTATTTTTCCCATTGTAATGTGCACAATTCTCCCCTCAAAACAAACAAATAAGAAATATAATGTTAATGATTTAAAGTCTTATTCCTACTGAGTATATATTGTTTTCTTCAAATCTGACCTATCAGAAGAAATAAAAAGTGAGAACAACCATTGTTCCAAAATTAAATTCTTAAACAAGACCCTAGTCAAAACCTTACTGACAACTTCCCAGAAACCCACAGCCATTGAGTTGATTCTGACTCACAGTGACTCCCATAGGGTTTCCAAGCTACAAATCTTTATAAAAGCAGACTGCCTCATCTTTCTCCTATCGCACCTTCTGACCTCTGCTAACTTCACAAGGAGGGAGGAGAATCGAGAACAACATCAACAGCCCAAGGCTGGTTCCTATGAGTCGGAGGTCACACATGCCACCACCCTCTAATCTTTTTGCCAATTCTGACATCAACTGTCCCCACCATGACACTCTCTACTTCTTTGCTGGGTTCGATAATTTGTTGCAATGGACACACAGAACTGAGACAATATTCACTATTATGGGGTTCATGAGGGAAGCAATAGATTACAGTCCAGGTTCAGGACTGCTCAGGATACAATTCTTCAATCAGGACAGCATTCCCTCGGCCATGCCTCTAGGCATGCCTATCTCTGGCCTTCAGCCTAGCCTCTACCCTGTGAGCAAGTGTTACAAAGATCTTTTAGCTCTGCTAATAGGTACACCATACTCTGCCAGCAAGCCTCCTGCCCCAAGACACTCAGCTTTCTCATTCCATAGACTGTCAAGCCCACTGCTCTTTCATGTGCCAGTTTCTTGATTCTGTTACCTCTACAGCTGCTATCTCTCTGCCGTCTCTTCAGTGCAGGGATCTCAGGTCTAAGGCTATGCTCTACTTCTGGGTCTTTTTCAGGATGGCAGTAAGACCCCCCCACCCTCTCTGCCTTTGGGATGGCTCATTTTAAGCCTGGCAGGATGGCAAAACTGACAAATCCCCATGTTAGGGTTCTAGATGCCTCTTTTCCACGGTCCACCCCCACAAGAGTGCCATGTACCCTATTTACACTATTAACAAGACATCCAATCCCCTGGTAGGCCACAAGCACCTTCAAGTTGCATAGTTCCACCCAGTCATCCGATGGAAGTCAGAAAGGCCATGGCTAGAAGAGTCATGTTAAGTAACTCACTACACCACTGATGGATATGTAGATTTGAAAACAGCAACAAAACCTAACAAACGTAGCACTTGCAGATTAAGGAATATGGTCTGTGACATAGCCTTAAACCACAATTTTGTCCAAGAGACAATTGGCCAGGCACCTTCAATCACCTTCAATGATTATATAATATTATATCTATACCTCTTTCTTACCATAGTTGCCTTTCTTTTAGAAAAGAGAACAAGAATCTAAGATAGCAACATTCTGAAGATGAACCAAATCTAAGAAGGCAGCAAATGGGGAAAAACATAAAGAACTGAGTTGGGTGCCAAACAATAATTTTTGGTGAGAACTTGGGAGTAATTGACTGCAAGCTCAGGTCAGTCAACAGAGAGACAGGTACAGTTATGGGGACTGCAGAGCAGCCAGTTCCTGTCCTGAGTCCTACACAACTACTGCCTTTTTAAAGAAGCCCTGGTGGTACACTGGTTAAGCACTTGACTGCTAACTGAAAGGTCAGTGATTTGAACCTACCAGCCGCTCTGCAGGAGAAAAGATGTGGCAACCTGCTTCCCTAAAGATTACTCTGTCCTATCAGGGCACTATGAGTCAGAATTGACTTGACAGCAAACAGCAACAACTCTTTCAGAGGGTAAGAGCAGCCTCAAAGGAGAACCACCCCCATGTCAAGGAACTAAAAGCCCATCATCAGGGATGCACCTCAAGGATGCAGGATGTTAGTTAAGAAAAAACTCGGAGTGTACAAAGTCTTGTTTTCATAAATTGAAAAGGTTCTCATATAGCGATTAGGCTTGATCTAAAAGACTAAAGAAAACACTTATTCTAACTGATCTCTAATAAGCAGGGTCTTTCTCAATTAAAACTATCTTTCTCTCTAGTTCGCATCTTCTTCCAGCCTTCCTTCTTTCTATGCTCACAGTTGAAAAACAGACTTTAAGCTCAACATCTCCTTACTTGGTCATCTTCACTCTTTTACCCGAAGCAGTCAGATTTCTACACCAGCCCTCTATTGACACAGTTCTCCTAGGGCAACGTACAGCCTCTTCTAACTGTCAGGTCAAAGACACACAGTCCAATTTTCGTCTTACCCACCTTCTGTCTGTAATACTGTTAAACAATCCTTTGCCTAAAAGCTCTTTTCCATCTATTTCAGGAATACTACTCCATCTGGACTTTCTAATTATTCCTTTCTAAAATTCTTTGAGGTTCTCTGCTTCTGCTTGCCCTTAACTATTGGTAACCCCAAAATCACTTATTATTAATCTGGCCTCCTCTCATTCTACTATTATTTTTCATTGTGTCCTCATTCAGTCCAAGGCCTTCTATTGCTTAAACATTGCTGACTCATAAATCTGTATCTAGACGTCTTTCCTGAATTCCACACAAGAACATTCAATTGTCTACTAGATCTATCTATCTGATTGTTACACACCCAGCACATGTGGTCCCAAATTGAATTTTTTCTTTTTTGGTTT